GTCATGGTAAAAATACTGGGATATTTTTTTTTTATTTCTCTGGGATATTGGTTTGAAATGTGGAAATGAGGGGATCTTTGGAAAGCTGACTACGTGATTGTATGTCCTCATCTAGAGAGTATATAGCAACCCTTGAACCTTTGTAAGCCCCATCTTTTCTCCTATTTTTTTTTCCCCCTCTACACATGATTGCTCAGTACACCGGAGACTACTCTGAATGAACATGCTTCTGGTGCTGTAACTCCTGAGTTCAGCTTACCACTTTGCTTCTCTTAATGGACTGCAGTGTCTTTCACAGCCCCTTTGGTTCCTAATAAAGGTATTACGATGCATCTTGTCTTTAGACTGACAGGATTTGAGGGCGGTGTGTATAAACCCAAAAATAAATATGTAATAAATTGCAGCTTACCAGTCATTACATGTGGTGTCTGCATTAGTTTTCTCTTTGAGGCTTCTTGGGTTTAGTTTAAAGCCAAATCTTTTCAATTTTGGAGCTGGTAGGAGATAAGTAAACCTTTCTCTGGTTTTATTTATTTTGCGGTTTGTCCCCCCTCCAATTCCCCCCCACCACCCCCTAGACCAGTGGTTCTCAACCCTTCTAGGGCCGGGACCCCTTGGTAACATTTGTCAAGTTGTGGTGACCAACGGTAAAATTTAGGGTTGACGCGGCTGCTGCAGCGACATCTGTCGGCGTGGCGGGAGAACTGACACAGGGCTGAGGAGGACTCTCACCTAGCACAGCAGAAATCACACAACGACCCACCGGTTCAGAACCACTGTTGTAACAGCTAAAATGGCAAACCATATAACGCAAGCCGAGGGTGTCAGCTTTTATTATTTAATAATAATGATGATAATCACTAGATGGGTACCTGATGGAGAACTGCAGGCCCCCCTCTGCTGATTGACAGCAGCAGTGGGCGGGTGCAATAGCTAGTTTGCTATTGCAAAGTGAAATAGCCAATAGGAATCTAGCTATGCATTCCAATGCTGATTTTTATTTTTTTCTGACTTACGGCGGCTGGGACTCCGATGTCAGAAATAAAATTTAAAAAAAACCTGCACTGTCTTTGAACCGGTGACGTTCCTGGCTGTGGTGTCACCGGCCAAGCATCAGTGCTATAATAATCTGCTTGTTATAACTGGTGCTTCATAGCAGTATCCTGTGTAGCACTTTTAAAACAAAGCTACAGCTTGTCATCGTTGGCACAGTTAACCTGGCTAGGTTTTGGACTTCATGGTGGGTATGTGTTTGTATGTTAAGTGGTCAAATGCAGCTTTCAACAGAGGGATGGCGGTTCCTCCCTGCAACTTCCAATACAATCCTGCTAGAAAAAGCAAGAACAGAATGTTTTATTTCTGCGTACAAAAAAATTTAAACGATCGCAGCGAAAGGTTTACTCTACTCGATCGAGCAGAGTAAACCTTTCCGGGAGAAAGTGTTTCTCTCCCGGGCGGCCTGGAGCCGCTATCTAATAGTGGGAGACTCCCGGCGACCCCTGGCAAATTGTCATTAGACCCCCGAAGGGGTCCCGACCCACAGGTTGAGAAACGCTGCCCTAGACAGTTTTACTCTTGACAAATTTCCCCTCTGTTCTTGTTGTTCTGGTGACTTTCCCAACACTATGGGGCATATTTAGAAACTCTTTTTATTCACTAATCATTCATTGTAGGTGAAGTAATCTCTGTAATTTAAAACTAGGGATGCACTGATACCGGGTTTTTGATATTATTATTATTATTATTATTATTACTAGGGATGCACCGATGAAAATGCGGTGGGGGCCGTCCTCTCTCAGCGCCACAGGCAAGTACTTGCCCAAATGCTCCAATGCCTAGCCCGATACTTCCTGTATCCGGAAGCCGGGCAGCGCTTCATCACATGCTGCCCGGTTTCCTGATTGGCCGGGAGGTGGCTCCATGCTCTCCTTGGCCAATCGGGAAGCCCGGCAGTGTGTAATGACGCAGTGCCCGGCGTTCTGATTGGCCGGGAAGCTGGCTTCATGCTCCCTCGTCATGACGAGGGAGCCGGCCTCCCGGCCAATTAGAAAGCAGGGCGTTGCGTCATTACATGGCGCCAGGCCTCCTGATTGGCCAGACAGCTCTGGCTGGGTACCGGAGGATGGCCGCGTTCTGGCTGGAGAGGCCCCGGGGGTGACAGGCTGGACATACCAAGGTAAGAGGGGACAGACTTTCTTGTTAATCAGGAAGCCGGGTGGCGAGTCTTTACATGCCACCTGGCTTCTTGAATGGGACGTCCGTTACTCGGTAATTGGTATCGGCGATTATCGAAAAACAAAATTATCGGTACCAAAATACCAGTATCTGTGCATCCCTAATTATTATTATTATTATACAGGATTTATAGAGCACCAACAGTTTGTGCAGCGCTTTACAATATAAGGAAACATTAGAATACAATTTAAGACTTGGCCAATCGGGAAGCCCGGCAGTGTGTAATGACGCAGTGCCCGGCGTTCTGATTGGCCGGGAAGCTGGCTTCATGCTCCCTCGTCATGACGAGGGAGCCGGCCTCCCGGCCAATTAGAAAGCAGGGCGTTGCGTCATTACATGGCGCCAGGCCTCCTGATTGGCCAGACAGCTCTGGCTGGGTACCGGAGGATGGCCGCGTTCTGGCTGGAGAGGCCCCGGGGGTGACAGGCTGGACATACCAAGGTAAGAGGGGACAGACTTTCTTGTTAATCAGGAAGCCGGGTGGCGAGTCTTTACATGCCACCTGGCTTCTTGAATGGGACGTCCGTTACTCGGTAATTGGTATCGGCGATTATCGAAAAACAAAATTATCGGTACCAAAATACCAGTATCTGTGCATCCCTAATTATTATTATTATTATACAGGATTTATAGAGCACCAACAGTTTGTGCAGCGCTTTACAATATAAGGAAACATTAGAATACAATTTAAGACAAGATGGTACGAGTACCGATTTATATGTTGGTACTCGCCGATACCAGGTACTGATACTTGTACTTCTGGTAGCATGGAGCCGCCTTCCCGGGCCAATCAGGAAGCCGGACAGCGGCTTATTACCTGCTGCTTGGCTTTATGATTGGCCTGGCAGCCGGCATCCTAGCTGGCTTCCTGTTCCAGATTGGCAAGGAAGGCGGCTTTATGTTCCCTCATGCCTCTGCCGGTCAGAGGAAATCTCACTGTGACCGGAAGTTCCGGTATCGGAGGATTTGGACGACAACGAGTACTCGCCCAAATACTCATTATCTGCACTGGTGCATCCCTTTTAAAAAACATGCTCTAGGAATATTCCCCTGTGGTGAATGTTGAACTGTCGCATTCACTGCTTTTTTGTGCGTCTCAGTGACAGTGATTACAAGGACAAATGGAATGAATCTTTCCAATGAGAACACAAATCTCAATAAGGAAGCTGACCTGTTCTAAACCCTTACAAAAAACAATGTTGACACAATTCTCAGCAATGCTGATGGTTTTATATTTTTCCCGTGCATGAAATTGATTTTATTTATTTCATTCATTCTAGTCATAAATCCACTACAGCAATTCAGAATGAAACTCCAAAAAAAAAGCACAAATTG